ATTGTGTCTGATTAACAAATAATGTGTATTAGATAGTAGTCAAAATGAAAGGTTTATATTAATGCTAGGATCTCCAACTCCTCATTGAGTCCTGTGGGGGTGAGGGTGTTTAGTCGGTATACAAGATCCAATAAGTCTCTTGTTTACATAAACGTTGGAAGCGCTCAGGTGGAGAATAGTATTCTGGAATGTGTTCTATGGCGAAAATGCCGTGGGACGCTATGGTTGTGATCGCCATCTGCGATGAGTTATCTATGCTCGCCTATTCTCTTTCTCAAGGGACGGATGGTGCGGCAGACATATAACAAATTGCATGGACATTTAAGACCATATACAACATGGTCGTGTGAGCAAGTGATGAACTGTTTAATTGAATAAGTTCTGATGGTCTTTGAACTCGGATTGACCGTGTGTAATAAATTGACATGTGAGAAGCCGTGGTTTCTTACATTTGAAGGTGCCGACTCTGTTATCAAATCTTGGATGTAGTGTGTCATTGACACCGAATGTTTGAATTTTTCTGGGCGCTAGTCTATTTTTTATGTTTCTAGCCTTCCTGAAAGTAACTGAAGGTCTGGCTGGTAATATAGGACCTAATTTTGGGTCCTGTTTCAAAATGTGCCAGTTTTTGCGAATAATGTGCTGAATCGCTTTATGGTTGTTGTTGAAGGCGGTAATGAATCTAACCTCTGTTCCAGGATCTGAGCGTGTATTTGCTATCGTCAAGTGTGAATTCAGATAGGTAGAATAAGCATCATGGATGAGTGTGTCGGGATAAGATTTTTCTCTGAATTTCTTAGCAAGGAGTTGGCTCTGTGCAGTGTAGTCTGTGAATTTCGAACAATTCCTCCTTAGTCTACAGAATTGGCTTTTGGGGATGTTATGTATCCATCTTGGGTGATGAAAACTATGGAAATGTACATATGAGTTGCCACCAATGGGTTTCACATGATTCTTTGTAATGATGGTGTTACCGTCCGATGAAAGCTTGAGATCTAAAAATACCAGTTTGTGTGGGCCTAACACATTGTTGTTACAATGGGAAACAAGTTCTGGAATGAGCTCAGTGGGGCCATCCCAAATGATTATAATGTTGTTGATGTAACGACCGGAAAGGATGAGATGTTTGGCAAAGTGATTGTATGCCATATGTTGTGTTCCTCCTAGAAATCCATTGTGAGATTGGCATAACTAGGGGCGTAATTGGCGCCCATGGCTGTGCCTTTGATTTGTTAATAGAAGTTATCTATGAAGTCAAGATAATTATGTTCCAGGGTAAATTTGGTGCAATTCACAATGAACTGTGCTTGTTTGTGATGTAAGTTAGAGTGGGGGGACAGATAGTATTGAGGTCTACGTTGTGTGGAATGGAAGTGTATAGTGAACTGACATCTAGTGGCAACCATGAGTAAGAGGGATCCCACTGAAATTGAGAGGGAATATGAATTAGATGACCCAAATCCTTGATGTAAGAGGGCAAAGCGGTGACTAGGGTTTGTAAGAAATGGTCTATATAGATAGATAATCCACTTGGTGCTGGCACGACCGGGAGGCGGGCTGACATTCTTATGCATTTTTGGGAGATGATAAACATACGGGGTCTGGGGATATTGGGTATAGAAAGGCTCTCTCTTTTTTTGTGAGGATGTTGTCTTCAGAGGCTTTCTCTAGAAGGTTAGAGTTCTGTGCGAAAATTGATGAGAGGATCTAGTGGTAGATTAATGTAAGTGGAGTCATCACCCAGCAGCCTCAAAGCTTCAGCTATGCAATCCAGACAGTTCTGGATGACGATACCACCAGCCTTGTCCGCTTGTTTAATGATCAAGTCATGATTACTAGTGAGGTCATGGAGTGATTTGGTTTCAGTTGAACTCATGTTATGGATGTTCGGCCTTGTTACACATGAAAAGGCGGTCTGAATAAGTGATATGGTAAAAGGTGTCTATGAACGAACCTTTAGAGTGGTGTGGATAGAAGGTGGATTTTGGTTTAAAGGCAGTGTGGGTGATATCAGATCCTATGGGTGTATCTAATGTAAAATTGAAGGAAGAGTGGGGGTCGGCTAAGACATACATTTTAAAGGGCTGGCATCGGCCTTAAGAATCGGGGGATTTTCAGGAGTACAAGTACTCCTGAAAATGCCTGGTATCGGCCGTGATACCGATATTAGTATCGGTATCAGGACATCCCTACCTAAGAGCACAGAGTACAGACACTCCTTGTTAAGAGAAAGCTTTCCAATGGCAGGAGTATTGGATATTTTAATGCTTATAAGTTTCCTTCAGTCCCACTGGTTTCAGGCTCCTAAATAGGACAATCAATTATCTAGGTAGGGTGATTGCAATCATTTGTCTGTGGCACATCCATCCAGGGTTCTATCTCTTGTAGACTCTGACCCTGGAATCTTCTACTCATCCTGAAAATTCAGACCTTCTACGGTAGATGCTACATCCAAACACATCCTAAGTTACGCTAAGCGGCTTGGAGGCTGAAAGTGAAGTTTGCCTTGCCTGGATTACTCATCTTCAGTCATAGAGTTTTTGTTTGTATGCTAGAGCACCGACCAAATGTCACATATTCTACAGTGTGGAATGATAAATTCATAGACTTTGCAAGCTCAAAGGGTTGTGTCTCTCTTCACCTTGCCATGACAGATATATTGGAGTTTCTTCAGGCAAGCAATATGTACTTGGGTGTCAGTACCCTCTATCCGCATCCTCTGAGACAAACTGGGCAGCTCATTTATTGATAAGCCAGCTCTCAGGAAAGTCGCTTCATTTTCCCTTAGGATTTACAAATAGTGCTGGATATGTTCTTCCTTCTTGTCTTCATCTAGATCAGGCCTTCTTAAACTTTCTCCACCTGTGACCCCTTTTTGGCTAAGGAAATCTTTACGTGACCCCAGCATCCGACGGTGTCTCTCCCCTCTTTCCCCCCAGCATTGGTCAGTGTCTCTCTCCTCGTCTCCCCCCAATGTCAGTCTGTGTCTCTCCTCTTCCCCAACTGCCCCCTCCGCCGCCGTGTCTGTCATTACCAACTACTACTACAAACCCCCCTCTCCTTCCTTCCCTTTACTTCCAGCAGCTGTGCTCCACTTCTGCTGGGTTAACCCCTTCGTGACGGGAGACGTACACTGTACGTCCAGACACAAAGGGACCAAATGACTTGTCACGTACACTGTACGTGACGAGTTATTTGCTGCTTTAGAGGGCTGTTAACCGCTGAGAATCAGCTTTTAACATTCATTAATGGATGCCCTTACTACAGAGGCAAGCCCCTCACTCAAGTACTGGCCGTACCCCCCTAATGGCGGTCCAGCCGGGGATTCAGATCGCGACCCCCCTGTTCATTTGCGGGACCCCATATGGGGTCGCGACCCACACTTTAAGAAGCACTGATCTAGATCACACTTACTCAGATGGACAGTAAGATGTAAAATAGTTTTTCATACAGCAATCCCCTCAGGGAGGAGGGTCTTGGATAGTCAAGCTTAGGCTGCAAATCATCTTATTGCCCAGACTGGGACTACTTCTCTCTCCCAGCATCATCCAAAGGATGGAACATCCTTCCGTCTAAATAGGACATCAATGTTGCCAATGTTCAAGAATAAAGTTTGGTTTCAGATCATGCCTTAAATGTGGCTGCTATGCTAAGGGAGTACATTTGAGGTCACCTTCTTTCAGGTCGATCTGTTCATCTTTCTGGCGGTATCAGAAAGGGGCTCTCTGCATCCACTAGGTCACATGCATTGGGGCTGGTCAGGCAGATAGAGCCACAGATCAATCTCTGGGTTCACTCTACTGAAGCATTTCATCCTTATGAACAGATTTAGTGGTGTATCTCCAGAGTTATACTGGAAGGCAGTAACCTGGTATATGTTCATGTCCAGGGCTTGAAAAATTTAGGGTGTCTCACCAGTCAGTCAAAAATGTCACCAGTCAGCATGACTGGACTATCGGCCTTGCAATTTATGTTAACATTTTTTGGGGACAGATAGAGCTTTCTTTTGGAGGTATATAATCACCTCGGGGGTTATTTTTTTTACTATATAATGAAAAAAGTACCGTAAATGTAAAAGAAAAAAAAAAAAGTTTCTATACACTATGTTATAAAACATTTATACCCATATTTTTGGTAAAACATAAAAGTCGGGGTCACGTCGGGTAAATAGACACCAAACATGTCAAGCCTTAAAATTGCGTGCGCCAGCAAAATCGCAAATAAATGCCCATAGGCGACGCTTAAAACGCTTTTAGTGCTCATCAGTTTAGTGTTACCAGTGATTGATGGCCCTAAAATTATTGCTCTCACTCCGACGTTTGCGGCGATATGTAACATGTGCGGCACAATAGGCGCAATCGGCGTTTCCGCACGTAGGCGCACCCGATGCATATCTGAGTGTGTATGTGGGGGGCGGGGACTTACATTTTTTTTTTTATGCTTTATTTTTTTTAATGATTCTTTAATTTTTTTATTACTTTTTTTTCTTTTGACACAACTTTATTGCTATTACATCGGGGGACCTGTTACTTTACATAACTTGTCAGAAATACTGGAGACCAGTGTCTCTTTAAGAGATATATATCGCTTGAGAAAGTTTGAGCAAGGAAAAAAATTATCTTCTACATACATTGACGATGATGGTGGATAGAGGGTGGATAGGGAGGGGTGGGGGGAGGTAGCAAAGGAGGGAAGGTATGCTGTAGGAGGAGACATAAAGCTTATCAATCACACTATGCAAATTCCAAGAGGCTTTGTGGTGTGCAATCTCCTGCAATAGCATAGTGTGCCGTTGCCTCAATATTAACCATAGGTACATAGCCTACGTATAATTTTGAAACATTGTATATGCGTTCACCTGGGAAACAATTAGTATACAGTCTGCGTGTATGTAACCGAGTCCTCAACAGTTAAAAATGTTGGTTATACAAACACTAAACAAATGTATTTAAATCCTAAATTAATTAATATTTACTGATCCTTGACATGTTGTACACAAGACTAGCGCCAATGGAAAACTTGGATTCGAGGAGTTCAAAATCTTCTGGGACAAGCTGAAAAACTGGATTGTAAGACTGAATACTATTTTTCCTAATTTCACTTTTAATCTTTCTATAAAAAAGAAAAGGAGATTAGGTTGGAATTACCTTACCTGTAATCTGGAGGTATCCCCTTCTCTACTTCTTGTTTACCACAAGATGTCTTCAGTCTTCTGAGTTGAATGATACCCAGTGCAGTTCAACTCAGAAGACTAAGGACATGCTATGAATGAAGGGTTTCATTGCTCCTCCTCTTCCTGAGGGGGCATCAACACATCATTCTTCATTTATAGTATATTCATGCAGAGAGCGGTTCTGATGTCATCACTGCTCTCCACATAATCTGGGACCATCTACCCCTGGAAAAGACTGGGACAGGAAGAGGAGCTTGCATGACTGGCCAGCAGTCTTTAGAAAAATGTAAGTATATTAAATTGAAAATCATAACATAACCATAACACAAAGCTTAAAGTCTGAAGTTGGGTTTAAGTTATTGAAAAATAGAAATGCCTGAATAATGGAACAACTAAACAATTGCTTACACAACCAGAAAGATTCATTGTGAAGACACAACAGTACTAACACTAAATGACTCCTGTCTGCAGAGACACAATGGGCAGAGTACTAACACACCTAGAAAAATATCCACAGACAAAATCTGCACTGTATGGATGCAACTAGTGGGGTGCCGCCCTGCACCGGGTGGCACCATCAGAGGAGATGACCCCACAATGACTGATAGTCATTGTGGGGTCACCTCCTCTGAAAAGTCAGGCACTCGGTCATGGACTGAGAGCTTGACAGCTGCACGAGAGAGGAGGGGACCCAACGGCATACCTTATCCTGCTTAGGGTTGCCACCTTTTCTTCATGCCAAACCCGAACACTATAGCGAGCTAAAATAACAGTTATATTCCCCCAAAGCTCAGAACCGGCCAGCAGTCCCAGCACTCCCTTCCTGCAGCATTGGAATCCTCCTAAGCTTCCTCACGTCTACAGACGTAATGATTTGCGGGACCTTAGATCACTGCAGAGGAAGGGGAGAGACGTTAGAAGGACCGGTCTAAGAAAAAAGCCATCTCGTGGCTTCCGGTAAGGATAACTTTTTTCTTTTTTCTTAACCTAGATACAAATGAGCACTTAACCTTGCAGTGCGGGGGTAACCCCACTGCAAGGGTTAATTTAAAAAAATCCTGGAGTTCTTCTTTAATCCATCTAAATAAACATTTTATATAACTTAATATTAATCCAGACAAATTATTCATATAGGTCCATCTCAGGTGGCAGTAGCTTGCACAAAAATATATAGGTATCAAAAATAGTTATTTGTTGTGCAGTGTGAAATACCAGAATTGACCACAAGCAGGAGCGGACTGACAACACATGGGGCCCCCGGGCAATACAATATTATGGGGCCCCCTTGTGCTCCACCCATATACAAGCCCCATCCACAAGCCCCATCCACAAGCCCCATCCACAGTCGAAGGGCTGCTGTATAGGCTATTCACAATATTCACAATAGCTGAAGGCAACTGAGCGGCTCAGCCAAGCCGAACCTATAGGCTTCAGCTTGGCTGAGTCGTATTCACAGCCGAAGCAGGGAGAAAGGTCAGCCGAAGCCGACCGATCTCCACGCAGATGACAGGTGGGCTGGGCAGTTGTAATAACAGATCAGCGTCCTCAAATGACCTGGGGATGCTGATCTGTCACCAAACAATAACAACTGGGCGGAGCCGCTCGTGCCATCACAGCCGACTCCACCCAGTTGTTATTTATTGGCCGGGACCTACTAGAAGACTCTGGCAGGTGCCAGCAAATAGGAAAGAGGATGTGCGTTGTTTTTTCTTAAAAACATTTTTAAGAACGAAATTTCTCTACATTTTTTTCTTTCTCATTCATTTAACTTTTTTTCTATTCTGCTCGCTACCACGGAGGTACCGAGCAGAATAGCCAAGCCGAACGGGAGTAAGTGAGCTGCCGGAGCTTCAGCTTCGGCTCAGCCGATCCAGATGTTGGATCGGCTAAGTCGCACTCCTTCTGCACTTCAGCTCAGCCGATGTACGGCTGATTTTAGCGAGATACAGCTGAAATCAGCCTTACAAGGCTGAAGTGAATAGCCGAACAGCGTTCAGCTCACTTCACTTTGGCTGGGTTTTTCACTCGGTGAATAACCCCCATAGCGTTTGAATTTCCGTGCGAAAGACCACACGGGACGCAAACGCTAAATGTGAAACAACTGCATGGATTCCGCTCGTTTACAGCTATTATATAGCCGCGAACATACAGAATCTGCTGGATTATCGCACTTGCACTATTTTGGGGGCCGTGCGGTTTCGTACTGCGCTGTCCAGCAATAGTCTGGACAAAGCACATAAAAGTGCATTGTTTTTTCTGTTTAGAGCAGCTCCGCTCATATGCGGACAGCCGCTCCAGTGTGTACTGCAAGCGCGATAATCCTTCAGATTCCGCATGTTTGCGGCTATATAATGGCCGCAAACGAGCGTAATCCGTGCAGTTCACATATAGCAGTTGCGTCCCGCGTGGTCTCCCACATGAAAAACCGCACGGGAAATGCAAACGCTGTATGTGAATGGAGACAAAAAGGTTAACATTTTCCCATTTACAGCTCATAAAAAAATAGTAATTAAATTCACTTACCAGCATCAGGGCTCCTGATCCCGAGGTTCCAGTCAGGGTTTTTGTAGAACTCCTAAGTGGGGGGCCCAGGGCCGGATCTCAGTGGGGCCCCCCCCCCAGCATGAGGCTCTCGTGCCTCCGTCCACCCTCCGTCCACTGCGACACGCCCACATCCACTACGACACAGCCCCACCTCAGAGCTCTTCTCGGCCGTGCCGCTGTAGGAGATGCAGCTCTGTTAAAGCGGCAACGGCAGTGTATAACGGGCCCGGGAGGCGGGCGACAATGCCGTCGCCGTTATAACAAACCCGCGTCCTCTTCCATGCGGGCTGAAAAGGGCACGGGGGTCGGTGACGGGCCCCCTCTTTGGCCTCGGGCCCTCGGGCAGTCCGCCCCTGCTGTTTACAGGTGTGCACGCTGCATGGACGTGTGCTCCCAGTGTGAATGAGGCCTAATACACACACACACAACACTTAATACGCATACACACATAACACATAATACACACACAGCACACATGCAATACACATACAGTACACACAATACACACGCAATACAGTAACGCAATACAGTACACGCAATACAGTACACACAATACAGGACACGCACACACAGCTAATGCCCGCTCATAGTTCAAGAAGCCAGAGGAGGAAGAGAGGAGAAGGCTTAGACAGGGAGAAGAATCCCCCCCTCCCAACGCTGCTCCCAGCCGGAATGTATAGTGTATAGGAGAAGCTGTGAGTGCAGGAGAGCTCCTCATACCTGCTGACAGCTTGCCTCCTCCGTCCTCCGGTCGTATGGTCTCACTCCCGGCTGAATCTCTGCCCGACCTTCTAGGCCCCCCTTCCCCAGCGCCCTCAGGTGCCCAGGCCGTGCCTGTAGAGGGAGAGGGGTATCGTCCACCCTGGCTGATTAATATTATATGCCCCCCCTAGTATCGGCGCTGACAGGATGTGTGGAGGCAGACTCCCCTAGCCCGTGCTGGGTTCGGTCCCAGCTCACACGCCACTTGATGGGGCCCGCCTGGTAAAGGGCAGCTGCCTGTACACCCCTATCGGCAGGCCTGGTCACGGGCCCCGTGCTGGTCACGGGCCCTCGGGCCGTGCCCGACTGCCCGATGGGTCAGTCCGCCCCTGACCACATGGGACCATTTAACTTGTATAAGTTGGTTCTACAGGTTGTAACTGGAAACATAGAGGGGAATTTATCAAAACTGGAGCAAACAGAATCTGGAGCAGTTACCCATGGAAACCAATCAGCTTCTATCTTTCAAAGTTTAGAGAAGAACTATGGGACAATCTTTTCGAAGAGCCATAACTCCGCATCCACTATTGCCCGCTATATGCTAAGAGGGCAGAGCCGTGCCACAGCCAGGACGGATGCCGACAATGCTGTCGAAATCCACCCTGCTGGCTGATTGACAGCTGGCTCTGCCTCTCTAGAGGCAGAGCCAGCTGGGCCCGTCCCCTCCCC